TCCTGTCCTGTGCTGTGTTTACAGCCACTGACCCTCTCATGTCACTTTCTAAACCAGCTCTGCCCCAATGTCCTTCACCAGCTGGGCCTTTCTACACCTTAGTGCAAGACGAAAATCAGCACTATTGTCTCTGTAAAGATATTTAAGTGCATCATAATCAACACGCATGCAGAACAGTGCACGAGACGGGCAGCGTGGAGAGGCCGAGCTGGTTCCGCCAGGGCCTGGACATATGACGGCGGCGGCAGCTGAGCGGCCTTTGCACAGAGCTTCCTGAGACGACGCAGAAAGGGAAGGGCTGCGGGTGTCCGCTGACAGGTGGGAGGCGGCGGAGCGGCCTCACCTCGAGACCCGCTGCTCCCTGGCAGGAATCAGAAAGGAGCGCGTGTTTTCTTACGTAAGTGCCGTTAGTAACATGACGGGAAAACCGGCCGCGGTGGGGGGCGGGGTTCTCCCAGTCGGCGTTGGTCCTGACCGAACATGAAAGGAGCAGCCTGGCCCTCGCGCTGGGACGCCCGGCAGCCCCGTCGTGACCCACGGGCATCGTCCGGCCTATGGGGTCTTTAGGGATCCGGCGGAGTAGGTGTCACACACGGCCTCGTGCCGTTTGAAAGCTCACTTCACAGGTCGTCTGAGTTTGCGCCAGGGACACCGGTACCATGGCCGTGCGGCCGGGGCTGAGGCGGGTCCGAAGGCACAGCCCTGAGCGAGTCTGACCGGGGGACACGGTCTCTGCGTCCGAGCGAGAGCCCTCAGACTGACCAGGACTCTGCGGCGGAGGAGAAAGCAGGCGTGGGGGAGGCTCGGCCACCGGAGAGGACGAGAGGCCACGAGGGGCCTCGCGCACAGGCCGAGGCCCAGTGCCGGTCTCACGCTGGGAACGGTGGTGGCCGAAGGCGCGCGCTCTGCGCTGGCCGAGCAGCCGGGGCCCGGGGTGCCAGCCGCACGGCCCCCAGGCTGAGGCCCCAGGCCAGGACGCTGAGGCGCCCTTGGACCGTCTTCCGTTACTGGATGCTGTCCTTTCTAGTCCCTTCTTCCCAGCTTCCGCCCGCCCCCCTCACGGCTTCCTTCACTGGTTTTTCTTTCTTGTTTTCCCGAGTATTATTTTCTACTCATTTTTATTGTTTTTATTCTTAGGGTAAGGCCATGCTCCAGGAGGCCACGGGACGGGCCCCGCCTCCCAGGACAAAGCTTCGAGATCCTCAGCGGGGCTGGAACAGCCTTCTAGACCAATGACAAGTGCCTGACGGAGGCCCAGCTGGGCGGTCCTGTGAGGCAGGTGCTGCCCCCTCGCCCAGTCTTGAGCCACCGGGTCTCTGAGAAGGAGCCCAGTGACACCCGGCATACCCCGCGGGCCGCCCGTTTGCTGCTGGCAGCTCTGTCCGCCAGGGTCTGTGCTCACACCAAACCCTCTCTCCCAATCGGGCCCGCGTGTGTGAGCACCTACTGGGTGCTCACTCTCAGTTCTCAGGAGGCCGCCGGGCACAGGGCGGACGGTGCGGTCCCGAATCCGGGTTCTCGTCGCAGCCCCCCCTCTTGTCCCCCGCGCCCCATGCCCCACCCCGGCCTCCTGGGTTGGACCTCGCGGTTGTGGGTGGGGGTGGATTGCAACCTGCTCCCACCACCGTGCGGACCGAGGCCACTGTCAACATCCTGCAAGAGATGACGTCACCACAACAGGACGAGTCTGACACGGGCTGCTGCCGGAGGAGTGACCCGCCCGTCCCTAGTTATGTCAACATGCGGATTACACGGGGACGCAGCACAGCCCAGAGCGCACCCCCAAATAAGCACCCTGCACGGGGACGCAGCACAGCCCAGAGCACACCCCCAAATAAGCACCCGGCACGGGGACGCAGCACAGCCCAGAGCGCACCCCCAAATAAGCACCCGGCACGGGGACGCAGCACAGCCCAGAGCGCACCCCCAAATAACCACCCTGCACGGGGACGCAGCACAGCCCAGCACGTACCCCCAAATAAACACCCAGCACGCCGTCCTCTCCCTCCGTCCCCCATGCTCAGCCTCGGTCCTCGGCACTCGCGGTCTCTGCAGCCAGGACGCGCCCCCCCAGCCCCCGCTTCCCCGGCTCACCGGCCACCCGCCCCGAGCCGCCCGCTGCTCTCTGTCTAAACACCTCGCTATCCCCCTGTTACAGAGGGCGCTGCGCCACCTGCCCCAGCTGTGTCTCCCCTCACCTGCCTGCCCGGCCCTCCAGGCGCCCTGAGTTGACACGTGATCAGACCTTCAGGCGGGGGGCGGGGGCCGCCGTTTCGCCCCACTGGGCCCAGCCCTGCTCACCCCTCCCTTCCTCACCCTCCCTGCGGCGTCTGCCAGGCGCCATCCACGGGGTGCTTCCCGGGTTGACGGCCAGGCCCTCCTCCTCCCCGGGGTGCTGTGCGCAGACCTCGCCAATCGCACGGAGCCTGAGGGTGGCCGTTCGCACGCTCGCCACCCACCAACTCCAGCCGACGGGGGCCGAGCCCGTCGCATCCTTGAATTCACAGTGCCCGGCCCACGGCGGACACCCCTGGGAGCTGGGTACGAGCGTGCGCGATCTATCCAGCGATCGGGCCTGCGGTCTGGGGCCTCCTCCACTAAGAGTGGACGGTCTCACAGAGAGCTCCGTCTGCCCTGACTTGCAGGCTCTGAAAAATAAAGAACTTTCTCAGAATTCTAAGAAATCCAATATTGACTTGCTTAACAGGGCGACCTACGCACGTTCCCGACAGACAGAGGAGGGTGCGGAGCTCTGGGACGCGGCTCCCCTGGGTCTGTGTGGCCTTCGCCGCCCGGAATCCTCCGCAGGAAGGCGGCGTCCTCGTTCGCCCTGGCCGGCCCGCCCGGCAGCGCCTGCGAAAGTGCCCGTTTCATTCCCCGTCTATTTCGCAAGCGAAGATGATGAAATGTGGAGGGACCCGTGGCTCCCGTGACCCCGCAGCCAGGAGAAGCTGTGCCCTGCCTACTGCACGGTGTCCAGGCCGGCCCCTCGCCTTGGGTCACGGCCGGACCGCGGGGGCACTGGGCACTGGAAAGGTTGGCAGGAGGGGGACGTTTTCTGAATAATGGAGTCGGCTCGTCGGCGTGGAACCTACTCCTTGGCTGGTAGAAATGAAAGCTCGTTGCTTCCTAAGTCCCCGTCTTCAGAAAGTGGGGCGAGACCCAGAGTCTTCACCTCCGCGGCGGTCTCGCTCCTGCCGCCAAACCCATCGGTGTGCTGGCCCGCGTGCTCACACTCTGACGGCGGCCCGGGCCCCCGCAACAGCAGGTGGAGGTACCTCCGCTCCCCACGGGGATTTGCAGAGCCCGGCCTGGGGAGGACGCCGACCCAGGACGCCCAGCAGAGCCTTCCCCGGCGGTAGCAGCATCCTCGGTTCTTCCCTCGTTCAGCAAAGTCTGCTTGCGGACGCACCACACCCAGCTCCAGGCACGAAGGACGCTGCAGGGCAGGAGTCAGGCCACACCCTGGGCTTTCTCCACCCCGGCCACCGCCTTCTCCTTCCGGCACCCCCCTTCCCAGGTTGCTGGTCACCCCGCGGTCACAGACCCTCTGAACTTCGTGGTTTCTGTCTCCCACCTCTTTCTCTAGCTCCCCTTCCCCACCCCCCAAACACGCAGGTGCCTCCAAGGCCCGTTTCAGCCCCATTTGTTTCGCCCGGTGCTGAGCTAAGCAACGCGCCAGCCCCCCCAGGAAAGACGCCCACGTCCTGGCCCCGGTACCTGTGAACGTTCCCCGCGTGGCAAAGGGACTCCGCAGATGGGCCCGGGACGGTGAGACTGCTCCTGAGAGGGAGACGTGTCCCCGGCTGTCGGGGGCAGGCCCTAAGGGGAGCCACACGTGTTCTCATGAGCAGGAGGCGGAGGGCGATCTGACCGCAGCGAGAGAAGGCAAAGCGGGGATGGGGGCGGAGGCTGGAGGGACGAGCTTTGAAGGGGAGGAAGGGGCCGCGAGCCAAGGGATGCGGGCGGCTCCCGAACCCTCCAGAAAGAACCGGCTCTGCCCACACCTGGATTTTAGCTCAGTGAAACTGATTTCGACCTCCGGAACTTCAAGAGAATAAATGCGTGTTGTTTTAACCCGCCAAGTTTGTGACGATTTGTTACAGCGGCCACAGCAAACGAGCACGTGTCTTCGCTCGCGTGGCGTTCCGTGGTGCCCCGGGACCCGGGAGTGGCGGGAACACCCCGGGCCGTCTGTTATTTCTCCAGATGTGTGACGTTTGCTCATCAGTTCCCCAACGGGGCAAATAATGGCGTGCGCCTGAGTCAGGCCTGGCGCCCTTCCTGGAGGAGGGAGAAACAGCCCTGGTGTCCGGCCTGCTGGAGCTGCCTCCCTGCCATGACTCTGCTTGCACAGGCCCAGTGACGGGGGGCTCACTCTCCCCTGGGGAAGCCCATAATATTCTGGGATGGCTTTTGCTGTTCGAAAGTTGTGTTTTTTTGACTAGAACAGGATGCCTTGAGAATTACTTCTGCCACGTAGCTCTGAGAGTGAGCTGCCCCAGAGAGGAACACGATCCCACGGGGCCTTTTTCTGGATCTGTGCGCCCCACGGATACTTCTGTGAATGTGGCCTGCGGCTGAATCGCTCGCCCCGAGCCCAGCCCATCATCCTCCAGGCCACGCCTTCCTTGTACCTGCGCGAGTGGGTTTTCTGAGGCCGAGTCGATTTTGCTCATGAAACTCCATCTCTCAGCTGTCAGCCAGTCTACGTCATCCAACACATTCGCAGATTCCTCTGCGATGCGTCATCAGAAAAGTATTTCATCCATTTTTCCGTCCGAGTAAAAGCTTCCGTGACATCGCTGCGGCTCCACTCCGAGCCCGGGTCTCGCGATTCCCAGGCCGGCTCTGCTGAGGCCCCCGGGATTTTGCTCATGAAACTCCATCTCTCAGCTGTCAGCCAGTCTACGTCATCCAACACATTCGCAGATTCCTCTGCGATGCGTCATCAGAAAAGTATTTCATCCATTTTTCCGTCCGAGTAAAAGCTTCCGTGACATCGCTGCGGCTCCACTCCGAGCCCGGGTCTCGCGATTCCCGGGCCCGCTCTGCTGAGGGCCCCCGGACACACACATCCGCATGTCCCGCAGTCCAGAGCCTGCCACCACCCTCACCGGTGTCCCCTCAGGAAGCTCCAGCAAGAAGTGGTTCACGCGCCCAGCGCCTGGCCGCTGCATCCCGTGAGCGCTCCGGTGCCAGGCAAAACGCTCGCAGAGGGGCTCCAGGGACGATGCGTGGTGGCACAGGGCGCGCTCATCGGGACACTGGCCTCCAACGGCTGCCGAAGCTGCCCTGTCAGCCTCGGGAAGTGCAGCCGGCCACCTAGAGGCCCCGCTCATGCAGCTAATGCAGGAAGAACACGGTGCCGGTAATTAGGGGTGCGCCCTGCGGTAGAGACGGGGGACAGGGTGACGGGGAAGCGGTTTGGGAGGATTGAAAGCGGACACTCAGAATGTCACTGGGGCAGCAGTCCAGGAGGCGCCCCGCAGTCACAGCCCCTGAGCCCCCTCGGTCCCCAGCAGAGATCGTTCCCGTACTTGGGGTGGCGCTGTCCTTTGCTCACGGCCCGGTCCCAGCTCAGCGAGGAGGACATGAAAGCCACCTTTACAGACAGAACGGGTGCCTTCCCACGTCGTCCCGGCCGCCGCCCTCCCGCCGCTCAGCAAAAACCACCGATGCCCCCTGTGGTTTCTCTTTCCAGATCTTTCCCCGAGCTGCACACACAGGAAGCTGTGATGGACGCAAGCTGGTGTCTGCGAACTACGTATCGGGTCCGTTTGGTCTTCGCGGGTGTGCGTCCCCGGCCTGCGCGTTGCCCCGCTTCTTTCGATCAGGGGTAGGGGCTGGGGTCCCTCTCGTGCCTGCTGTGCAAAGTGGCTTCTGTCTTTCCCATGACGGCGGGACGCTCTGCTCCGGGACACGCCTCGGTCAGGCTCCCAGTTCCTGTCACGGGGCACGTCGTGGTTGTTTCTGCCTGTTTTCATTGCCACCGGTGCTCCCCTGAAGTCTTTTTCCACCCGTCCCCTTTGTCCCCATTTGTGGAGGTTGGTCGCAGCTCTCACCCTTCGCCCACGAGCAGGGACACAGATGCAGTGCCCGGAACCAGGTCCCCCCGCCGCGGCCACACAGCAAGCTCTCTGCACCGCCCGTCGGTCACCCAGCAGACCCGCCCGCCCTTCCTCCATGCCGGCCCCCAGCTCCTGTGCTGAAGCCGTCCCGTGTCGTCCCAGGCCGAGCTTGTAGCTCTGTCGCACTCAGGTTTCATCCTGGCCCCGGCCCCGGTGCCTGCAGTAAAGCGGGCATATTCCGTAAGCTTTGGTCGAGTGGCTGCAAGGACAATGGAAACACGTGCAAAATGTGGCCAGCGGGGGCCGGGGAGCCTTGCCGCTCTCGCCCTCCCACGGGCAGCTCCCTGCTCATTGCCGTAGGTCCCTGGGGTCTCCACGCTTGCATCTCCCGAGCCGCACTGCCGGCCCCCTCGATGCCACAGCCCCCCACGAACATCAGCCAGGTGACGCGCTCGGCCGTGCCACGAGGAGGCAGAGGGAGCTTCCCGCGGCCACCGCGGCAGCATCGGCCACGTTCTCCTCCAGGACCGCAGAGGCCCTGACCGGCCATCGGCACCGGGTCGAGTGGCGTCCCTCCAAACTCCGTGTCCACCAGGCCCTGTGAACGTGACCTTACTGGAAAGAGTCTTTGCCGAGGAAATCCAGGGAAGCTGGAGCGGGGTGGACCTCAGTCCACTGGGATTGGTGCTCCAGACTGAAGGTCGTGCCCCCACGAAATGCATTATGGAAACCCTAATCCCCTGGGGCCTTTGTGGGGTGAGTGGGTCATGAGGATGGAGCCCTCACGAATGAGGTTAGCGCTCTCGTAAGGAGAGGCCCAAGAGCCAGGTGGCTTTCCTGCCACACGAGGCTGCCACGAAGAGCTGGCGCCTGCAACCTGCGGGTGGGCGCTCGCCGGGACCCGACCACGCTGGCGTCCGGCCTCCAGGACGTGAGAAACAAGTTTCTGCTGTGTGTAAGCCACCACCTGTGGTGCTTTGTCACAGCTGCTCGAACTAAGACAACCAGTGTCCTTACGGGAAGAGACGAGACGCACAGGGACACGCGATGGGGACAGCGCCATGCGACCCAGAGGCAGAGACCGAAGGGAAGCCAAGGAGCACCGAGGGCTGCCGGTGACCACCGGAAGCGGAACGGGCAAGGGACTGTCCTCCCCGCCGGATCTCGAGGGCACAGGGCCCTGTGACAGCGTCACGACCGACCTCTCGCCTCCAGAGCTGCGAGACAACGCGTGTTGGCGTTTGAAGCCAGCCAGTTTGCGGCCGTGGGTCTTAGCACCCTGGGGAACCACGCTGCCACCCTCCCTCCCTCCCGTTTCCTGACCGCATTGGGGGTGCAGTCTCTTCTCCCACAGTTTCTCTTTGACCCTGTCACGGTGGTTTTTATCTGCTGTTTATGTCCCTCTCATTTGGGCACAGGGATATTTGCAAGGTGACTGCAGACTTCACGGTGACCAGCACCATCCTGTGCTCGCCCAGGAAGCAGAGAGGGCTAAGCAGTGGGGTGGGGGGCAGGGGCGGCAGGGAGCAGCAGAGGGGCCACACCTGCCCCTCAGACTCCATTTACAAAACACACATGCAGAGATAAAATGATTAAGGGTTTCGAGATGGTGACTGCAAGCATTAAACCCTTCTGAGCCCAGGCCCTGGGATGGCCACACATGCAGGAGGCCGGCCCTGACCACACCAACCCGAGGCCACTCAGAAGGACATAAACACTGACGGCGTCTGCCGTGCGCCTGGGCCGCACAACTTAAAAGCCTCATTTCCCGTCTCCACCCGGCCCTGGAGGGGCGGACGGTGCGGCGGATGAGGAGAGAGACTCTCGCAGTCACGGGCGAGGCGAGCCCGGGTCTCGCTCCCGAGTGCTCCCTCTGGACGATGTGGCGTGGTCCCCGCAAGCCTTCGGCTCCCTCTGACAGGCAGGTCCCGGCCACCGGCCAGCCCACACGGCTGGCAGAGAACAGAGTGGCCTGTTTCCAGGGAAGGTTTGGGGCAAGAAAGATGCAATAAATCCCCAAACCACCGGAGCATGAATAAAAACACAAGAGTCAAAGACTAAGGTGGGGAGGCCGATATTTTTACCAGAAACATTAAGCTGAGATAAACGACCTCCACCAGCACGAAACTTCGCTCCGAGCCTTCTGGCAGCTGTGACAAAGAGAGGGCGTGACAATTACGCGGTCCTGGTTTTCCAATAAAAGGTAGAAAAAACGTTTTCCATAAGGCGGGGCTGCGGAAGAGACGCTGCCTACGTGAGGGGTGGACACAGAACAGCAACCGGGCGTCTAGAATTTGGGGTAACGGTTTACAACAACGTGCAGGCGCCCCGAATCCGGCCGCTTCATGACACTGTGCTCCGAACGGAGCAGCGGGCATCGTGTACAGGCGATTGTGGGGCACAGGCGGTGGGGCTCGGTCTCGACCAGACCCAGCGCTCACACGCAAAGCCCCGGAAGCCTAGATGAGCTTCTGGAAGAGTCACCGCTGACCGCTGGCCCTGCTGTCGGCAGAGGGGACGGGACAAGTGCGACGGCGTGTGCTGAGCGGTGACATCCGCTGGACGGTCAACACCCCGCCCCCGCTCCGAGGAGACACCTGCACGCCCCGCCTCCCCGCACAGAGATCTGTGTCAGGTAACAGGAGTAACAGGAGTGGTTTTGAAGGAGTCGAAATAATATCGTCGTCTTCAAAAGGGTGGTGTTTTTGTTTGAGTCGAGATAAAAGGATGTGACTGAAAGAATTGCTTTTTTTTTTTTTTTGCCACGTGACCTCGGTCAAGGCCGACCTTGGAGAGACTCCTTGAGAAAACACGAACCCGGCGGAGCGTGCGGTGGACTCAGACCTCACGGTCAAGGGTGGAGAAGTGGAAGGGAAGCTGCGATGGGGCGCGGGAGACCCCGTGCGCGGGGAGGGGCCCCCGCCTGGCTTGACCAGCTGCGGGATGCTGAGGGACAGGCACAGGGGGCGGGGGGCAGCGGGCGGAGCGAGGACAGAGCCTGCAGCCAGACCAGCCGCACACCGCAGGCGAGCCCAGCCTCCCCGTGTGCAGACGGGGGTGATGACAGCGGACGGTCTCAGTGAGCAAACGCGAAGGCGCACGCAGCACGGTGCCGCCAACACGTCCTCCCAGACGTCACCTCCCTCCTCCCCGCCCGCCGAGCCTGCCCCCTACGCACACACACGCCCACGGCGCAGCCCGAGCTCTGCGTCCCTGGGAGAAGGCAGTGTGGCAGGGGACAGTCCGGGGCCACCTGGCTCCTCACAGGAGAGCTCCCTGCCCTCTCGGGTCTTCGTAATCGTAGCAGAGCGAAGACTAGCGAGAACCTTGACCGATGAAACTGTGACGACGGGTCTCGCTGGTTCCCCTTAAACCCCACCGCTGCGGTGACAGGGTAGAGAGGGCTCGCCCACCAGAGCTGCAAAGGGTGCCAGTGAGCACCCTGGTCGGCTTCCCGGCCAGGCGAGGCTGCCCAGCGCCCGGCCCGCGTGGACGAGGAGCCCAGGTCCACGAGGACCACAGAGCCAAGACTAGCCTGCCCCTTCCGAGAGCCAGAGCAGCACCCACGAGGAAGAACCGGCTGCTTCTGGCTCTGCGGCACGGACCAGAGGGAGAACACGGGGGTCGGGCACAGCTGTGGCCCGCGAGGCCGGCCTTCCGAGCCAGGCCTGGGGAGCGCAGAAACCGGAGAGCAGGGAGGAGGGCAAGCAGAGGCCAGCCAGCCTTCTAATGTCACGCTGAGTGTGCCCGAAACGCAAGGAGGACAGCCAGGGTGGGTGACACGGGGGCTTCTAGCCACCTAGGGCTCCGTGGTGAGCCACAGCCACGATGTGGGCCCAGCAGGACACGCAGAGGCAGCAGTGAGGGTGTTTTACAATCTGTGTGGCTGACCCAGGCGCCTGGGGCCTCTGGGGATGCCAGCAGGATCTGGGTGTTCCCAGGACACCCACGAAGCTTGGCTCAGACTTTCCCCGTGCTGGGCTCAGCCCCTGGCAGGGAAGTGGCTTCAGGAAGGTGGCAGGTGAGCGGTCCCTTAGCTTCTGTGTATAAGACCGTCCTTAGCAGAAACTGATCATTACCCCCAAACCATCTTTCTAAAGGCTGTAAAAGAAAAGTTGAACTTCGGTAAATAAAGATCAATCATCTGTGGCCTCCCGCTTGGAGGCCAACTCCAGCCGAGTGGGGGTGGCTTGTGCGAGCACTGCGTCGGAGGATTCCGACTCAGCGGAGGTCTGGGACGGGGAGGTGCACCTGCCCCGACGCCAAAGGTGCTCCGGGCGCCGCACATCCCCGACCTGCAGACACTCCCGCTCCGCTGGCTTCATTCTGCCCAGCCTCACCCAACTGAGGGGCCCGGCGTCGTGACAGCTCCTCTGAGTCGACGGCACAGTGCCCTCATCGCTCCCTAGGCCAGCCGCCCGTCGCTCCTGACTCACCTCCAGGTGGTGGCTCACCGGGGAGTGTCAGCAAAACTAATTTGTTTAATTTATCTAATTATTCGTTCGTTCAAACCGTCCACCACCAAGGAGAAAGCTAGAAGGTTTGGGCTGACAAATCATTGTCACCGAAGCCGAAGGTCATTAATTAGTAACACGATGCCGGGCGGGTGAACCGTGATTCTGCGGACCTCCCGGCACCAGAGCGAAGCCTTAGCAGGGAGAACTTCCGCGGGTCGTAGCTATGACTGAGCTGCGGATTCTCTCCACCTACGCCTGAGCCAAGTCCAGGGACGAAGGCCACCACCGACTCGACCCTGTCTTAGCAAACGTTGGTGGAGACAAAACGCATCGGATTTTTAATTGACAACCCCAATGTGCACCCGATGTGAACCCCAGGCCTGGCAGCCCCTGCTCGGGGCAGAACTCCGTGGGCCGGCTGGCTCCCCCACCCTCGTGCCCCGTGAGGCTCTGGCCACAGCTGTCCCCGTCACTCCGCCCGAGGCATGGCTTCCCGGCTCTCTACTGTCACGACCGACACGCCCTGGAGCTTTATTTTCCACATGTCGTCGCAGCTGCCAGTGGCTTTTATCACGGTGACCCGGGCGAGCCCTTTGACCTCGGCTCCCTAAATCTGCCTCTCTGAGACCGTAGGTGGCCGGTGGTCTCTACGCGTGTGCCCTCGGGGTATGTTCTGTTCGCAAGGATGTGAAATCCAGCCCTGGGTGCTCATTTGTAGAATAAGCCAAATTCCTGAACGGCCCCAGACGGGCACCGGCCCGTTGCGATAGCACACACACTAGTACCCGAAGCTCGGGGAAGAGCATCAGGCCGTGAGTAAGTGCTCGGTCAGCGTTTGCCTTCATCAGATACCCACAAACCATCTCTTCCCAACGCCCCCAGATCGCACCGCAAGGAGACCCATCCCGCCGTGCCGTGAAGAAAGGAAGCCTCGGGATTAAACGGGCCCACGCGCCAAGGCCGGCACCTCGTCCCGGGCAGAGTGGTGGGACCGTCTCAGGGGCACCGTCTTGACGGTGGCAAGAGCGTGGGACGTGGTGAATGACAAGCCCTCCTCACACATGGAACCTGGTGAGTTAGGGCTGTCGCCGTGGCAGCCTGGTGGCCCACAGGAGCAGCGCCTTCTCCCATGCCTCCTCGGGAGCCCAGCTCCACCGCCTGGGGGCACGGGTCTCCCCACCTGCGTTCCAGGCTCGGCTCCTGTTCAATGATGTTTGATGTCCCGTTAAGGAGCTGTCACCTAAAAACGTAGTTTTGTTTTGAAAATCCAGCCCTCTACAAACACATGGAGGACACTGTTTAGTTATTCATTATGCTGCTTATTCCCCATTTCTTCCTACGACAAATCTGAAGTTGGGTAGAAATATGCACAATAACCTGACTTAAAAAAAATGCCGAGGAAAAGTGAGAATGTCAATAAACTGGGGGGCGGGGGGGGCTGAGAAAGCGGCCAGGACGGGTCAGAACTAGGCCGGGTCTGGCTCTTAAGGTGGCAGTGGGGTGTAATCCGACAGCTCCCTTAGACATTGCCACTGAATCCTCTTTAAAAATAGGAGAGAAATTCTGTAGCTGAGCTGGAAAGTAACGCCGGTGTCACCATAGATAGTAAATACCAAGGACTTCCGGAAGCTAAGTCAAGGATGCGGCATGGGCCCCGCTCGTCCCGGTACGGGGGCGGAGGGGGATGACAAAGCCACGCTCTGGAAGCGCATGGGTCGGAATACGTGACTGCACGTGTCTTTGGAAATGCGATCCGCCCGGGTCCTGTGGACGGTCATTTTGCCGTCACCTGCATGATTATTTCAATGAGTGACCAAGTTCATATAAGTGACCTGGAGATGTAGTCATTTATCGTTCACAAAATGGGATTCATGGGGACCCACCGAGCGACTTTTCACGATGAAACGTGGGCAGAGGGCCGTCCTCTTGGCCATGGAGCGTCAGAGCCCAAGCGTAGGAGCCGACGGCTTGGCTGGGCCTTGGACGAGCCGCGCCCCGTGCCCCACGGCAGTGGCCGAGTTTCCTGGCGAAGGTGGGCAAGGGGGAGGGAAGCTTCGTCCCCCCGACTTCTACCCTGGCCAGAGCAGCTCGGACCTCTCTCTATTTCTCTGTGCCTCATTTCAGCTGGACAAGAGGTGGTGCATCTAAAACCTGTCGTAACGGCACTGAGCTGGTACCATCTGCCTCGTTTACAGATGAGGCGACCGAGGCTTCCTGAGCACCGAGCCCGGCCCGACACCCAGACGCACGTCCCGGCCTGCGGTCCTTGCTCGGACGTCCGCAGCCTCCCCGAGTCCGAACCCGTCTCGGTACCCGTCAGCTCCCCCTAGGCCCCGCCTTCCTCATGCCTCTGGATGCTGCATGATAACAAAACGTAAAATTGTGTCATAACGTGGCAGAATCCCGCAATGCGGGCAGACTTGATGAGAGATGGAGATATGACATCGTTTAAGATTATTCCAGAAAGCGAAATGCCAAGCAGACAAGCCCGAGGAGGGAGCACCGTCTCCGGGGTACGTCGGATTCTCAGCGGCCGTCCACCCCTTCGAGAGGACTCCCTGAATAATGGCGAGAACTGAACGTGTCGGTGACATCTATGACGGGAGCCCATGGGTTTTTTTACAAAAGCGTTAAAATCTGGGTTTTTAGTTCCGTCTAGCTTGCCGAAATGTGAGACGGGGAAGCCTGAGGAGCGTCGGGGGCGGGGCCCGGCAGCCCCCCCTCCTCTAGAAGTTACGACGCTTCTAGTCAAGCAGAAAAAAGAGCCACGTTCAGTGGGAATGGAAAGTGGCAGCCAGGCCCTGCCTCGAGGGACAAGGTTTTCTCCGGAAAGAAATGGTATCGCCACAAGTCTGTTTTCCTGGTGGTTTCGCCCTGTTCCACATTGTTGTCACCAAACTTCACTTTCAAAAATGACGTGGGCACCTCACCGCTCGCTGTCAGCCCTGCCTCCCACGGGGCGAACCGGGCAGGTCAGACGGGCTGGCGGCCGAGAAGTGACAGAGGTCGTTCTAGAAAGCTGCCCCTTGGGCTCCAGGCCCAATGCACCATCTGAGGTAATTCCTCCGGCACCTGAGCCCCCCGACGCCTCTGCACGGACTGAATCATGGTCCCCCAAATGCACATGTTGAAGCCCTAACCCCATGTGACCGTATTAGAGACAGGGTCTTCAGGAGGTGACCGGGGTCGAATGAGGCCGTAACAGTGGGTCTGGTCAGAAGGGACTGTGTCCTTGTCAGAAGAAGAGTCATCGGCCATCTCTCCCCGTCTCCCCGGTGCACAGAAGAGAGGCCCCGTGAGGACACAGAAGGAAGGTGGCCGTCTTCGAGCCAGGATGCAGGGTCTCACCAGAAACCGAGCTGGCCGGGACCTTGATCTTGGACTCCCGGCCTCCAGAACTGTGTTTGAGCCCCCTAGTCTGTGGCCTCGCTGCGCAGTGCCAGCTGACGGGGACGGCCACCCCAGCCTCGAGCCGTGGAGCGTGAGGCAGACATCTCAGAGGCCCAGGGAGTGTGGGGGCACCCGTTCTGAGAGAGCATGAGCGAGGGGTGCAGGCTGTGAACACGGCGGGGCCCGAACGCAGGCGAGTAAGTGGAGCCTGAGCCCGGCTCCCGATCTGGGCAGAGTCCATGGAAGGAGGGGGGCCCCCCGGGCGGCAGGCAGTGGGCCCCACTCCTGCCACGGAGAAGGGAGCCGGAGGTCCAGGGGTCCCGTGGGACACCAAAGGTGATCTCAGAAGGGACAGGGGCGAGGGCCGAGCTGGGGGCCCGAGGCTTCCCCTGGACGGCTGGGCCCAGATAAGGTGCCTCAGTGCCAGAGCTATGTCCCTCCTGTTCTGGCTGGCCCACGAGACGCTCCCCGGCAAGAGCGTCTCGACTCCCCGGAGGCAGGTTACATTAAAATAAGGCCGTTTGAATGGAGTCCAGCCTGACCTATCAGAAGAGCAATGTGGACACTCGGGGGGCAGCAGGGATGTGGGCGCAGAGGAAAGGCCCCACGAGGCCGCAGCAGGAAGTCAAGGTCGGAGGCCGCCGCAGGAACCGGCCCTGCCGGCACCTCGACCTTGGACTTCTGGCTTCCGGGCCTGTGAGGAGACAAGTGGCTGCTGCAGCTGCCCAGTCTGGGGTACTTGGTTACGGCCACCCCGGCAGGGTGGCGTGTCACCCAGGGACGACAAAAAGTTCTGCAGAAAAATGGGGCGCAAGTCAGGTGGAGAGGACGAGAAGGACGAACCAAGGCGACAGAGGGGGACAGAGCCGGGGGGCCCGCGGGAGCAGACGGCACCCCGGGGAGCGCCACGCCAGGAAGACTCTCCCAGGGAAGGCGGCGTTTGCTGTGGCCGTTCACGGGTGACAGAGCCAGGCCGGAGCCAGGCCGCGCTGCTGGATGCAGCCCGGGGCAGGCAGACCGCGGGCACGGGGCGGGGGGCGCAGGTCGGGCAGGACGGAGCGGCGGGGCGAAGGGGGCCGGGGCTCCGGGGGAGACTCTTCAGTTTCGTGTCGTGCGCATGTGTATTACACGAGGAGCTCGACTACTTTCGTGGGGAAGGGGACGTAGCGTGTGGCCGGAGCCTGGCGCATCCTGTAGGATGTGATGGTCAGTGGGGGTCACGGAGCGACTCCAAGAAATTAGGGGAGAACTGTGGGTGCCACGAAGGGGACTCACAGGGGTGCTGAGACCCCCAGGGCATTAAATATCCAGACAGGAACGGCCGTGGCACTGCCGGAAATGGGTCCTCACGGGCCGGACGGGGAGCAGGGCCTGGCGCCTCTCCCCTCCCACTTCTGGCTGGTCGCCTCCTGGAGGGTTCTCGAGACACACCCAACCCAGGACCCACAAAGCATAGTGAGGGGCCCGGCCGAGGTCGTGCCTTGGGGCCCAGGCAGAGGGCATCGTGGATTCAGGGGTGTTACCAGCAAGTTGCATCTTCCCCCAAAAGATGAAAGCACTAGCCCCAACCCCTCAGGATGCGACCTTGATTATAAATAGCATCGCTGCAGAGGTAACTCGTTAAGAGGAGGTCACACTGGAGGAGGGGACTCCAGGACGACAGGCGTCTTTATGTCATAAAATGATAGCTGTGTGAAGCCTGCAGGCAAGAAGAACGCCTTGCAAGGCAGGATCGGAGGGAGGCGGCTACAAGCTGGGACGCGAGGGCTGTCCCCGAGGGAAGGACGGGGGCCGGTCCTCCCCTGGAGCGTGGCCCTGTGGTGCCCTGGTTTCAGACAGGTCCTCCCCTGGAGCGTGGCCCTGTGGTGCCCTGGGCTCATACGGTCAGCCTGCAGAACTCAGACGGTCAGCCTCCAGAACTCAGACAGTCAGCCTCCGGAATTCAGACGGTCAGCCTCCTCCAGAACTCAGACGGTCAGCCTCCAGAACTCAGACAGTCAGCCTCCGGAATTCAGACGGTTAGCCTGCAGACGGTCAGCCTGCAGAACTCAGACGGTCAGCCTCCTCCGGAACTCAGACGGTCAGCCTCCAGAACTCAGACGGTCAGCCTCCGGAACTCAGACGGTCAGCCTGCAGAACTCAGACGGTCAGCCTCCTCCGGAACTCAGACGGTCAGCCTCCAGAACTCAGACGGTCAGCCTCCGGAACTCAGACGGTCAGCCTGCAGAACTCAGACGGTCAGCCTCCTCCGGAACTCAGACGGTCAGCCTCCAGAACTCAGACGGTCAGCCTCCGGAACTCAGACGGTCAGCCTGCAGAACTCAGACGGTCAGCCTCCTCCGGAACTCAGACGGTCAGCCTCCAGAACTCAGACGGTCAGCCTCCGGAACTCAGACGGTCAGCCTCCGGAATTCAGACGGTCAGCCTCCTCCAGAACTCAGACGGTCAGCCTCCTCCAGAACTCAGACGGTCAGCCACCAGAACTCAGACGGTCAGCATCCTCCAGAACTCGGACGGTCAGCCTCCTCCAGAACTCAGACGGTCAGCCTCCGGAACTCAGACGGTCAGCCTCCGGAATTCAGACGGTCAGCCTCCTCCAGAACTCAGACGGTCAGCCTCCGGAACTCAGACGGTCAGCCTCTGGAACTCAGACGGTCAGCCTCCGGAACTCTGCGACAGTGAGCATCTGTCGCGCTAAAGCACCGGTCAGTGAGGCTGCAATAGGCGGCCCCAGGGAACCACCGTGCGGTAAACGGGCTGATGGCGCGTTAGCGAGGACAGCAGTGGGCAGGGTCCCCGATGGGACTGGACGGGCAGGCGCCGGAGGAGAAGCAGGCCTGCCGGGGACAGACGTGGGAGGCGGGCAGCGCGTGTGGCGTGGATGCCGGTCAGGAAATGGTGCTGCGCCCTTCCTTCTGCCCCCAGCCTTCTCTGGGGAGAGACGGGCAGGCCCCACGCCCGGAGGTAGTGGCAGGTCTGAAGGGGCAGTGTGGGGAGCCGGAGGTGAGCCGGGGACATTGGCAGGGAAGGGAGAGGGGCGGGACGTGTCTGAAGAAGGACGTGGTCGCCAAGTGCCTGGGAGACCCACCCAGCTTAGGAGCCATGCACGTGATTGGCACCAGTGCACACGGTCCCGTGATGTTTCTCAGCAGCAGCCAGCCTGGTAAGGGACAGGACGCGGCCCGTGTGTATCGGTCCTGGCCTGGGGACTTGCCGTGTGGACACTCGGGAGCAGCACGGCCCAACTGGGCTTTCTGCAGTGAAGAAAATATTCTCTGAATCTGTTACGTGGGACAGCCACCAGCCACACGTGGCTGCCGAACACTTCGAATGAGCCTGGTACGACTGACAGATTGAATTGGTTTTATTCTCATTAATTAAGTTTAACTCACCACAGATGGCTCTTGGCCACCATATTGGATCCGGCGTGCGGCACAGGTGGTGAAGGAAGCCAAGGTCAGCTGGAGCAGAGTGCACTCACGTAGCTGGGGCCACACGGTCGGGGCCAAGCTGCAGATACGCGGGGCAAAGGCACGGTCGGGAAGCAGCAGATTCTCTCTTTAGAAGTTGGTGAGTAACGCCTTGGGCATTTTTAGGGGTGAAAGTTGTGTCGAGGTGTGACCCCTGGAAAGTATATGGCTGTTCTCTAACACATTCTTAGGTGACAAAGGTCACCGTGCCCTCCAAGTATCTCGTGCCAGCAGCTTGCAGAAATTTTTAAAAGCTGCCCCGATGTGCTGAAGAGACGTATCCTAGAGAAGTTGCAGGCGTGGTGTTTTCATGGCGCTTTATCGTTTCGTTGGGTCCCTCATCCAACGTTTGTTTTAAAGAAATCCCTCGGGGCGGGGAGATAAGATGCCTGTTGATTCATTTAACTCTGTAACTGGCCCTGCCCTGGGTCTTGTTAAGCCACAGATATTTCCTAAAGGAATCATGGTGTCTGGAGAAAAATATTTAACCAGCTTTGCTGCATCTGCTAAATGTCCTGCTGGTTTTCTTGATGACAAAATGCATCTTTGGAAACCTGGCAATTCTGTGCTCACCACCCCCCGTCCCAATAAATTCTTGAGATCCCCACGCGTATTGCAGAAAAGCAAGCCAGGATGTGGCCTCCGGGCAGAGAGGGACCCAGGCCAGACCTCCGAGCTGCAGCATCTGTCCTCCTCCACCGGGGAATGTCACCTCCCAAGAACGCCACCCCAGAGCAAGCAAAGGCACCCACATTCGCCCACTTCACAAAGTACTGTGAAACGTCCACCATGGCATTAGATACAAGGAGAAGGAAAAAAAAAATGTCTTGTAAACAGCCACACGAAGGACTCTCAGAAGGAGGACAGGTGCTGGGAAATCGGTCCTCGTGCCAGCCGGGGAAAGACACACGCGTTCGACGCTGATAAACAGTGTCCGTGAGGGAGCAGGAGCTCGGCCTGCGGCCTGGGCACACACGCGGGGTCTGCTTCCCACGCGTCGACGGCTGGTCACCTCGAACCTCCAATGATAAGGAGGCCGGGGGCCGGCCACGGGTTTCCGAATGATAAAATTCTGAGGATTTATGAAAACTTACCTCACACAATATTTTTCCTAGACTGAGAAAAATGTACGGTCCCCTTCATTTAGGCCGGCCACGGTCTCTCTGAGGCCAGCCTCGTGAGCCACGCGGTGCCATGCCATCTGCGTCCCGGCCCGGGCAGGTGGCACGGGAGAAAGCGGTCTCTTTGTGGTCTGTGAATTCTGCACACGTCATCCCTCAGGGCTCTTGTTTTTTTCATTTACTCAAAACTAATAAGAAAATCACTCAGCGAACCCTCATAAAGACGGTCCTTTCAGAAGTGAGTGTTTATGTTAAGGGAATAGCTATGAGGTCATTGAGAGATTTCGAAAAACAACTTTTTTTTCCCCCAAAATACATGATGTGGACTCTTGAAGTTGAGTGTTATGTTAGTAAAATGAGCGTCCCCAGGCAATGTTTTCGGAGGGGAATGGGCTGGTCACCGTATGCAGGCGACCGAAACGGCAATATTTCTCTCTAGCCAAACAGCCAGTGCGGTTTCTCTTACTAAAGCAACATCCAAAACGCACTCTGGCTCCTGCTGGTAAAAATCAGTTCCAGCGCCGGCGTGCAGAGCGGGTCTAGTGATTCACGGCGTCACTCTAGACAGAGTATTTGGTGGCACAGCTAACGCCTTTCACGAGCTGCAGAGCTAGACAAAAGTAAATAACTCTGGGTTGTGAGTTTTGTTCTCCGTAGGACAAAGAAACTGTTCAGAGCAACATTTCACGTTGACAGCTCCTGAAAGCTCCACGCCAGGTGCTGAGGGTGGAGGTGGCAGCCGGGAGACCAGCCGAGATGGGTTTAAATCGTCCCCATCGTCCGTCTGGAGCCACGTCCGTCACACGAGGCTCCCAGGACGCGGGAAGACACAGCCTGGTGACCGGGTCTGTTGTGACGACTGACATTTATAGATCTCTGCCGTGCCCGGCGCCCCCCAGAGCCGCTGCTCCCCACAGACACGCCGCAGGTGGCTAGAGGGGAGCCTGGTCCCAGGCCGTGGCTGGTCCCCAGGCTGTCACTGATCCCCAGGCTCTGGCTGGTGAGTCCTGGCATGGCTCGTGTCGTGAAGTTTTCATCAAGGAACCGCGGATACTGACTTTCCAAAGCCCAGGCCGCCCCGAGGCCAGAGGTGGCGCGTCGGCCGAGCTCGTGAGCGTGTCTGACAGTGCGTACGTCCGTCAGCTGGGTCCGAATGAGTGAAGTCTCTTTGTTTCCTCCAGGGATGCCGGTCTCATTCATTCATTCATTCATTCATTCATTCCTTAACTGAGCGGGGTCTGCGGCTCCTGCGGTGTCCCAGGCGGCACCAAGGTAAGCAGGACCGTCTCCTGTTCACTGACTCCGCTGCTTCCTCCCCACTCCTTCTAGGTGACAAAGAGCGGAAGCTGGAGAATACCCCAGGGGGACAAGCCCACACCCATTGTCCTAAACGCCAGGGTGCTCGCAGGGCGGCACGGCCCCTAACCTCCCTCTGCCACACCTGAGACACAGGAGTGACAGAGCATGGCGGGGCTGGGCGCCCGGGGACGGGCAGTGTGGACGGCTGCCGCCCCCATGAGCATGGGATGCGCACTTCGATGACAGTCCCTCCAGGGGTCCCCCTCCTCCAGGAAGCGCACGGGGAGGTAAAGCAAGTTTGAACCCCCTCCCTTTGCCTTGGGGTCGCTCTGCAGACTGAGTTCATTGACTTTCGGGAGTGCCATCCGGGTCCTGCTTATTCACACCCTGGCTAAGACAGAGGCTTACGTGGAATGAGTCATCATAGGTGGGGCCGAAAAATTTCGTGTTTTTTTTATCTTACCCACTGTTACCAAGATTTGGAAATATGTGAATTCCTCAAATGTTATGCACACAACCGCAGGGTGGGGACTTAGAGAGCGCTCTCAGAGGGCTGTCAAAACAGAAAGGCACTTCGCTTTTGAAAAACAAGAACCGACCATCTCTAGTAAATTCTGTACCTAGTAAACATGGAAAGAATTCTTTTTTAGCAGGACCAAGAAGACTGCAGTGCAGCTGCCCACGTCCAAATCAGGTTAAATCTGCCAGGCCTGCCGATGGCGGAGCTGAGTTCATCCGCTGATTCGTTTGCCAGCCCCACCCCGAGCCCCTCCTGTGGGCGGCCTCCTGCAGTGGGGTGGGGTCCTCGGCGCTGTCACACCCGCAGGCAAGATTGGAAAAGAAGCCGACAGGCGGTGGGGAGGGGAGCCAGCGTGGACGGTCAGGTGCTCCACCTCCGGCTGTGTAGTCGGGGCCAACATAGGACTGGCTTGGTTTACTGTTCCTGCACACGCTGAGATGGACACCAGTACGCGGCCCCTGTTCTGGAGGACAGAATCAGGCTCGGGGAGTCTGAGCCGCCTGGCCAGAGCGAGAACCGGATCTAGGTATGTCTGATTCGGAAGCCTTGTTGCCACCTCAGAGCCAGAATGTGCCAGAGAGAAAGTAGCAAATGGCCGAAGCCATCTTGAGGAGA